TTTGTAGTTCCTATCCTTCTGTTAAAACTACCCATCTAATTCATCATGCTGTCAAGCTTTTTCATTGGAGCTTTTAATGCAGTAATCATAGTAATTTTAAATTCTCTACCGGGTAGTTCCGCTATCTGTGTCATGTCTGAATCTGATCTGTGGATTGCTTTGTCTGCTGGCCATGTGCTGGGCTTTTTGTTGGCTTTTTATATGCCTCCTGTTTTTGCTGTTGAACATGGAGCACCTTGTGAAGAAGCAGGGGCTGAGGTAACAGAAGCAGGCACACCTCTTCTGCTGCTAGGCCGCTAGGGTGGGTTTACATTAATGTGGTCAGAAGCCACGCTGAGCTGTCGTTCATGATGAGTATGTGACCCTCCGTGCAACAGCCTCCATCTCCTCTTCAGGTGACGTGTGATCAGAGTGGAACCTATTTGCCGAGGTCTCTTCTCAGCTAGCACACGCTCAGCTCCAGGTCTGCCCTCGGTGCTGCATCTCAGAGCGGCTCCGTGGCACGGTCTCCCCTCTCCCAGCAGAACTCCAGGGTTCCCCGTCACCCGATGTTCACCACTCTGGGACAGGAGGCAAGAACTGGGGTTTCCTGTTGTTCTGATTAAGCATCAACCTTAGACAGTCCCTGGGCCTCGGGGATGTGGCCTTCCCGATACTCCTGCCCCTTACCCAGCTGCGGTTCAGACCCAAAATGTACTCCTTGGGTAGGTGTGATTCTATTCCCCACCCCCAGGTGCGAAGGGCCTTTACCAGTGCCCTGAAGGCAACAGTGCTTTCTCCATCCTTCCCCTGCTTCCAGTCAGTGCAGGCCAGAGGGAGACAGGGAAAAGGGTCCTGGCAGAATTTCTTGCTCCACCGGTAGCAGCCGCTCTTCTCCTCAAGCCCTCACCCCAAGGATGCTTTCCCCGGAATCTCACTCTTTTGGGGGGACAGAGAAAAGCCTGCAAGTGATATTAAACTCCCCTTCCATGTGCAGCCTCCCTGGACAGCCCATTCCCTTGCTAGCCACATTCAGCACCCATCAATCTCTTCAACTCTGCCAGCTAGATCCTCCCCGCGCCCGGGGCGCCTGTTCTCTCTGCGGGCACCTGGTTCTCCTCAATCCTCCAGGTACCCGGTAACCTAAGCTCTGATGGGTTCAAAAAAGTCATAAACTTCAGCCTTCTAGCTTTTGTTTGCTTTGTCTTGCTTTGAGGGTAGAAACAATGCTCTTTCTGCACCACAACTTTTTTTTTATTAATGCCTGAACTTGTCTGCTAAAAGATGAAACTATGAAACAAATGTAAAGCTTATTGAAAAGTCAACTTAAAAGCAACATTCCAAATTAAAATGCTCTAATATAACGTTTAGTTTTAAAACCTAATTAGAGAATTCTTGGTTGTTCATGAATGTGATTTTTTCCAGCTGTTGATATATTAAGAAAAGTCTCATTTCCTAACAATAAAATGAATTCAAAACTAAATTGCAATAATGCACTTAGACATAAACTACACCGAGAATTCAGCCTAATAAAAGCACATACAGCTGATAATGATTTCTTAAAAGTATTTAGTTTACATTTGACAGAATGCTTTGAGAACACCAATTACGTGTTCATAGCCCCCATAATTCTGTTTTACAAAATATTTCCTCAAATCTCTGGAGCGATTACCACAGGGTTAAAAGTTGTCTTAAGATCAAAGATCAAACAGAGGGGGGGAAACCCTGTAATTCGCTAGAGCAGCTCTTGATCTTTTCCATCTGCTATGCAACAAGGAGGTGAATGTTGAATTTGAAAAGAGAAAACCTTTTAACTAAAAATGGCAGTAAACCGATTCTGGCACACATCCAAAAGGAATTTTTCTATATGAAATCCAAGTCCCTTTTGCAAAAATATAAACAATGTCAACAATAGAAAAATAAGATAGAGTCAGTAAAGTACTGTCTTTTATTTATATCTGTCTTCCTATAAATATATCACATGATCAGATTTCTATTATAAAGCCACACAGTAAACACATTTTTGACCATCAAGATAACTTTGTAAGCACAAGCTTACGGGTGAATGATGCGAGACAGCTGCAGCAAGACAGTGGGAACTCGGTGAGCTCAGACCTGGAGACATACTTTCCTGGCGCAGGAAACAATTCACAGATTCCCTGGACTTTCCTTCATGTGAAAACCTAGAAGCCCCGTCTACCTTCATCTTGGAAACAATCAAGAAACTCCCAGAAGACAAGTGATGTGGCACATTTTTTAGAACAGAGAAAGCACGTCTTATCTCCTGAGACATATGCTCATAGGCCTACCAACAAGTGTGGCCTTCAGTATCCATCCAAGTATTCTAGAATGAGGTCTGGTTCTTTCCTTGATGTGCCTTTACCTTCTCTCTCCTCTCATAATTATTGAACTATATACCCTAAAATTGGTGAATTTCACTATATATATATATATATTTTTTTTTTTTTTTAATGAAGTTAAGAAAAAAGAAAAATATTATTGGGTCTTATCTTGAATCAATGAGTTTACAAATAATTCCCATTCTCTTTTCCACATACAAGGTAAGGATAGGTCTCAAAAACAATGGGGGTGGGAACAGTCTTTTAAACAAATGGCACTGGGACAATGGATATACACATGCAAAAGAATGAATCTGAACCCCCTACCTTACCCCAGATATGAAAATTAACTCAAAATGGATCAAAGAACTAAATGGAAGAGCTAAAACTCTTAAAAGGATCAGAGATACAAATATTAGTGGCCTTGTATTAGACAAAAGTTTCTTAAATATGAAACCAAACACACAAATAACAACAACAAGAGATAGGTAAGTTGGACTTCATCAAAATTAAAAGCTTCTGGACATCAAAGAATGCTATCAAGAAAGTGAAAAGACAACCCACAAAATGGGAGAGAATATTTGAAAAAGCATATATCTGATAACAGTCTAATTTCCAGAATATATAAAGAACTCTTACAATTCAACAATAGAGACAAACAGCCCAATTTAAAAAAAAAAAAAAAAAAAAGTATTTGCACAATTCTCCAAATGAGATAAAATGGCCAAAAAACACATTAAAAAGGTGATCAACATTATTTATTATTAGGGAAATTCAAATCAAAGCACCTACTATATGGCTATAATCATTTTTTTTTTATAGAAACAAGTTTGGTTGAGGATGTAGACAAACTGGAACCCTCATCATTACTGATATAAAATAGTGCAGTCACTGTGGAAAAAAATTTGGCAGTTCTTAAAAAGATAGTTACTATATGACCCAGCAATTCCACTCCTAGATAAATAGAAGATAGATAGATAGATATATAGATAAAAGGGAAATAAAAGCATATGTCCACGCAAGAAATTGTTGATTAATGTTCACAGAAACATTCATAATGGTGAGAAAGTGGAAAAAAACAGAAATGTCCACCAACTGATGAATGGATAAACAAAATGTAGTGGTATATTCATACAATGGAATATTCTTCAGCCATAAAAGGAGTGAATTCACAATGTATGCTAATATAGAATCATTGTTATACACCTGAAACTAATATATATATATATATATATATATATATATATATATATATATATATATATAAAATCTACTATATCTCAATTTTTTTAAAAAAGAAATGAAGGACCAATACATGCTACAACATGGATGAACCTTGCAAATATTATGCTAAGTGAAAGAAGTCAGTCATAAATCCTCTGTGTTTGAGGTTTTTTAAATTTCAGTTTGCATTGAGTATGATCTTGTATTAATTTCAGATGAATATTTCATAAGGTAGATTGTTAAACAATCATCTACCTTATGAAGTGCCTCCTCCCCATTATTTCAGATACCATCTGACACAATACAGAGTTTTTACAATATTGTCGACTACATTCCCTTGTGCTTTACATCCCTGTGACTATTTTATAGCTAACAATTACTATTTCTAATGCCTTCACCTTTTTCGCCTAGCCCCCCAACCTACCTCACTTCTGGCATCCCTTAGTCTATTCTCTATATCTATGAATCAATTTCGATTTTGTTTACTTTGTTCTTTAAATTCCACATGTAAGTGAAATTATATGGTGGTTGTCTTTCTCTGCCTGGCTTATTTCACTTCACATAATACCCTGTAGGCCCACCTAAACCACCATAAATAATAAGATTTCATTCTTTTGTATGGCTGAGAAATATTTCATTGTATATGTACCACAGTCATTTTTTAAAAATATATATATTTTATTGATTTTTTACAGAGAGGAAGGATAGGGATAGAGAGTTAGAAACATTGATCAGCTGCCTCCTGCACACCCCCTACTGGGGATGTGCCCACAACCAATGTACATGCCCTTGACCGGAATCGAACCTGGGACCTTTCAGTCTGCAGACCGACGCTGTATCCACTGAGCCAAACAGGTTCTGGCTGTACCACAGACTTTTTATCCACTCATATATTGATGGATGCTTGCATTCCTTCCATGTCTTGGCTATAAAAGGGTAATATGCTAATTAGACCAGACAAATTCCTGACAAAGCCATTGTGGTGGGGGCCGAGGCCGAGGCAGTTAGGGGCGATCAGACCAGCAGGGGGAAGCAGTTAGGGGGCTATCAGGCCGATGGGGAGAGCAGTTAGGGGGTGATCAGGCCAGAAGGCAGAGGCAGTTAGGGGCAATCAGGACTCCAGGCAGAGGTGGTTAGGGGCAATCAGGCAGGCAGGTAAGTGAGCAATTAGAAGCCAACAGTACCAGATTACAAGAGGGATGTCCGACGGCCAATTTCGGACATCCCCCAAAGGGTCTCAGATTGGAGAGGGTGCAGGCCAGGCTGAGGGACCATCCTGCCTCCCATGCATGAATTTTGTGCACCAGGCCTCTAGTCATAAACAAATGGGTGTATATATGCTTCAAATTAGTGTTTTGGGTTTCTTCAGATATAACCCAGAAGTGGAATTGCTGGGTCATAAGGCACTTCCATTTTTTTTTTTTTTTTTTTTTTAGAGGAAGAGAGAGAAGTATCAATGTGAGACCAAAATATTAATTGGCAACCATAGGTAGTCACACACATCAAAACATGGTTCCTGCCGACAGAGTCTGTATAGTTATCAGATTTTCTGTGCGATGGCTCCATACATGTTTGTTAAAAATATATATATATATATTAATTGGCTGCCTCCTACACACTCCCTATAGCGGATCAAGCCAGCAACCCAGGCATGTGCCCTGACTGGGAATCAAACAGTGACCTCTTGGTTCATGGGTTGATGCTCAACCACTGAGTCACACTAGCCAGGCATCATTTTTAATTTTTAAGGAACCCTTACACTGCTTTCCATAGTGGCTGTACCAATCTTTCCTTTTTTCTATATCCTTGCTAACATTTGTTGAGTTTTCTGAAGAGTACCGTATATAGTTGTTGTTGTTTTGCTTTTATTCTAAATTTTTACCTTCAGATATAAAAAATATAAAAAATAAATTTAAAAAAAAAAACACCTTTTCTGGCCCCATAACTTTATTCAGCAAATCACCTCCACAAATGACACACGGCAGTTTTGACATACTTCATGTAGGTCACACCCAAAAACATCCTAATGTCTTAGACCCTCCACATGAGCACTGCCCAGTGAACTTTCTGCAACACGGGAACTATTCTATATGGGCACTGCCCACAGTGGCATGAGCCACATGTGGCTACTGAACATGTAAAATGTAGATGTGTGGTTAAAGTGCTAATTTTTTTATTTCAATTAACATAAGTGAAATACCCACTCGTGCTTAGTAACTGTTACACTGGACAGTGTGGCTCTAGGTAACTCCTAACGTTTTCCTGCTTTGCAGACCTCCAGCTGTGCTTCAGTCCTGTTAGTCAGAGGTGCCTGGCTCACTATGACTATGACAGCCATGAACAGCAAGCGGCTCTGCATATCTCTCCCTCACGTTTGAAAACCATCTTCAGTTTCATTAGTATCAAACGACTAAAATAAACAAGTCCGTAAGTCTAAGACTAAAACAATTAAAACCCCCTAGAGAACCCGCTAACACAACAGCTCCCGCTAATTACAAGCAGACAGGCTGTGGTATGCACACAGAAAACAAAGGCCTCTTTCACAGGGGGATTAATTGATAGCGAAGGCCTGACTGTGCTAAGTGTGGCTGTAAATCACTGCATCTAATAAGATCATTCTGCAGTAAATTTTCAGAACGCTCATTTTCCCATGGAGGGAGACTTAAGAAACATTTGTCTAAATCAGTATTTGCCCAAGTATGTTTTAAGGAATAACAGCACGGTGTAAGAAGCTAAGCAAGCTACCAAGAGTGCTCATGGTTTGGCTGGGGGAAAATGCTGGGCTAAAAATGTCTTGGGAAGATTTTACATATTTTTTAAAAGCTAATGTTCACGGTGAATCTCCAAGAGAAAGGTTATGGAAACTTTATGAAACCTACCTGACCAATAATTATGGAAAACAAAGGCCTAATCAGTATTTCTGAAATCTGCCTCGTGATGAGGATCAAATCAGCACATGCATTCCAGTGCTTGTCGAGTGCATGGATCTCCAGGCCCGGTGACCGATTCGGGAGGTCTGGGGCAAGCCTCAGGGTTCAGAGCAAGTTTAGGAAACACTGGGCTAGTTCATTCAGAGGACCCAAAACATCTGAAACAACACATACACATGAAAACATACACTGACCATCCCACATACATGCAACCATTTTCTGTTTGTTTGTTGGAAGAAAAAAAAAAAACTACAGAAAATAACAAGCATTGACAAGGATGTGGAGAAACTGGAACCCTTACGGACTATTGGTGGCAGAGTCAGCTGGCACAGACACTTTGGAAAACAGTAAGGCAGTTCTTCAAAAACTTAAAAACAGAACTACCATATGCTCCAGCAATTACATTTCTGAACATATTAGCAAAGTAACTTAAAGCAGCGTCTTGAACAGATACTGGTACATCCATGTTCACAGCTCTAGCATACACAATACCCAGAAGGTGAAGGCAATCCAAGTGTCCACCTACAAATGAGTGGACAAACAAAAATGTTTGTATATCTAATGTAATATTATTCATTAAAAAGGAAGGAAATTATGACACATGCTACCACAGGGATGAACCTTGAGACATCACACTAAGGGGAAAAAGACAACCACAAAAAAAAAAAAATCTACATGATTCCATTTCCAAGAGGCACCTAGAGTAGTCAAATTCACAGAGACAAAGACAGAAAAAGTCATGCAGTTATTTTTAATGGACACAAAGTTTCAGATTTGCAAAATGAAAACCACTCAAATGGATGGTGGTGAATGTTGCACAATGTGAATGTACTAAATGGCACTGAACTATATGCTTAAAATTTGTTCAGATGATAAGTTTGAGGGTGTATGTATTTTACCATAACTTTAAGAAGAAAAAAAAAAAATCAGAATTGTTGGTCACATAGGAGAGACTATGCTGCAGGCAGCCTAGAGCCGGTGACTTCCAGGCCACGGTCATTACCACTCACCTTGCCTCTAAAGATAGAAGCCAGCTAGGTATGGTCTGAACAGGAAGTCATAGGTCTGGCATATCCTAGGTCCAAGGATATGTCCCTTCTCTAATTCTGCTATATTATAATTATCCCAGGAAAAACCTCAGTTCAACCAAATGATCTAATTATGAAGGAAGTGTTTACTGATATACAAAATAGATGTAACCTGCTTAAAAAATTAAACTTCTTTAGTACTTCCAGCATATTTATCATGCCTATACTCTCAGAGTCCACAACTACCATTTCTTGAATATATTATGGAAATAAAAATGTTATCTATCTATCTTTCCTTTCCTCCTTCCTTTCCTCCCTCTCTCTCTCCCTTCTTCCTCCCTTCCACTCTCTCTAGAAATCAATGAGGAATAAATTCTCAGGTGAGGATTACCAAAAAAAAAAGGATAACTTTTATCTTAAATTTAATATCTCCATACACTTTATTTGTAAGTTATTCTGGCACCAATGCATATTTTCCCACTGTTACTACTGAGTCCAGTTTGTATTCTTTCGAAGATACGCTAACAAATGCTGAAAATGAAGCGGCTGTTATATATTCTAAAATGTTTAATATCTTTACATGAAAACTGTGATTACTACTTTTTGCTTTTTATATTAAACTTTGATAGAAATTTTACCACCATAAGATCAGACAGAGTTTTATCTTCTTTTAACCCAAATGTAATGCATAAGAAATAAAAATTTGATTGACAGATCATTTAATATTACCTCAGACAGGTAAAAACCTAATTTAATTTTTTTTCAAAAGTCAAAATAGTTTTTGGCGAGGGGTTTATGATGATCAGCCATCCTGTAATTCTGCATTTCCCCACCAGCACTAGCAGTGTGCCCACACAATGTCACCCACACATCCCTGCAGTGCAAACAGATCCTGTCCCAGCACCTGGGGGCTGGGAGGGGGTCCTCAATTCACCCTCTGGGTAGAAAAGCTTAAACATTATTTTGCCAGACAGTTATGACAGCTTTCAACAGCATTCTGTAAGGAAAAATAAATAAATAAGCTTTCACTCAGAAAACAGTCACATTTGTGAGGATTTTTTTAAGTTGTAAAAGAACCCGAAGGGGGAGAGAGGGGGGTAAGAGAGACAAGAAAATGATTACCATCAAAAAGAAAACCTCTGTGAAATCGATACACACACAAAATATATATATGCAATACTATTTTTCAAGACCTGGGATACCATTTTGTGTGTGTGTTTTTTTATTGTTTTGTTTTTTTTTAAATATATTTTATTGATTTTTTACAGAGAGGAAGGGAGAGAGATAGAGAGCTAGAAACGTCGATGAGAGAGAAACATCGACCAGCTGCCTCCTGCACACCCCCTACCGGGGATGTGCCCGCAACCAATGTACATGCCCTTGACCAGAATCGAACCGGGGACCTTTCAGTTTACCACTGAGCCAAACCGGCTTCGGCTGGGATACCATTTTGTAATTGACTTATCACTCAATAGGATTATTTGCCCCCATATCACTAAATTGCATTAAAAACAAACAATAATAAATACCTAACATATAACTACCACAAACACTAGAATTAGCACTTCCCGTAAATTCTTTCATCCTCACACTCATTACACTAATGAACAGATTAGTGTTAATATCTATAATAATAAAATAATGTGCTAATTAGACCTGATATCTTCCAGACATCCTTCCTGATAAACCTGAGGCCAGAGGAGGGAAGCCAGCCTGGGTCCTGGGTGCCTGTGGGCGACCGGAGGAGGGAAGCAGCCTGGGGCCCGGGGGCCCAAGGGAAGCCAGTGCAGGCCGTCGGGGGAAGGAAGGCCTACTCTTGCACAATTTTCCTGCATCGGGCCTCTAGTTTAATGATACTTAGGGTCACTGCCAAATAATCACAATTTTAGGTTTTTTAAAATTACAGTCAAATTTATAGAAGCCTTTTTCAGGCAGAACCTAATGATGTAGGAACTCTGTCCTCAAATCAACAAGTACGTGTCAATGAAAAAAAAAGAGTTTGGGGGGAGCAACACTGAATTAAAAGAAGTACACTAACATATATAATAGAAGTCGAAAATCTTGACTTTGATGTGACTACAGGGAAAGTCTCGTTTTTTCTGCCGTAGAGGAGCAGGGGCAAGTCAAACAAGCTGCAGCTCTCAGAGGAACCGTTCACAGCCCTGTCACAATGACGGGGCTGGAGCTCCACCCGTGACCACCTCCTGTGTGTGCTGGCCTCCCCCTCCTTCGCGTTTCCCTGAGACAGAGACGCCCCTCTGTGAGTGAACAATCCCCACTGCGGGGTGGGAGGCTCTCGGTGCTGCTGCCTGGCTGAAGGCCTTTGGGAATTAGGCACACCTGTCCGTGGGGGGATATGGCCCTCTAATCTGGTTAGATTATGCAGAAGCCAATTACAGATACGGTAACCCTTAGTCTCTGTTTTGTGTCTCTCCCTTGACCTGCCATTCATAAGCACATACAGAGTCTAGATAAACGAGAAGGAACATTTTCCCCCAAATTGCAAGAGTTCACTGGAGAGACTTGTAGAGAGGAATCACTGGAGGTAAAATTCGTTCTAAGTGGCTCTTTCTTACACCTCATTCATTGACTTTTACTTCATTAAAGTACCAA